TCTCTCTCTCTCTCTCTCTCTCTCTCTCTCTCTCTCTCTCTCTCTCTCTCTCTCCACTTTCATAACCGATTCTGAGTTTGAAAATATTTTAAACCCTTTTTTATTATCCTTTGTTTAAGTATTTCATATTTTATATGCAATGCTTACGTTTGGTTACATAACATGTTATTTTTTATTATATTATGTCAGCCGAAGTATTGGTTCTTTTATATCTTAATATTTAATATAGTATTGTAATAAATAGTACTCAATATTATGTCAAACTTGAGTATAATTTATGTAATGTTTGTATAACTTTTACAGTAAAGAATTTGAACATTTTGTGATATTTGATTGCATTAACTGTTTGACCAGAATTACGTTCAATACATCTATTAATTAAACCAATCATTAAATCATTTGTTCACACGATATGACACAACAAATGAAACACTTGAAGACATCACTCGTGACCACAGATGACGGCAATGAAGACAACAGACAACAGGTATTTCACAAACAATTGATCTGTTTATTAATGTCTTAAATATATTTATTTAAAAATTTAGATACGAATCTATGCGAAGAACTCAATGGACAGATTCGGTGATGACTTGTATGGACTCATATTATCCTATCTCTTAATCGAAGATCGGTTTCAATGCGAATGTGTGTCCAAACAGTTCCAGAGGACTGTCTTCGAAAGTGTTGTAGACATCAATCTTAGCAATAAATTTCTTATTAAAATACTGTGCGGAAGGTTAATTGACACACAAATGTTGGCCACAATTACCACAAAGTGTCCAAACATACAGACCATTGACTGTCGAAGAATAAGTAATAGATTTGATGAATATATTCCCGAAGTGTTGAACACATTTCGGAACAATTGCGGGCATTTGCGTGAAATATACGCAACCCTATGGCAAATGAATTGCAAACACATGCATAGCATTAAACCACTGGTTACAAGAATTAGTTATATTAAAGTAGCGCCCGATTTGATGTTCAATGAGTGCACACCAAGGTTTTGGTCACTCATTAAACCCAAACAACAATTATTGTTAAATAATTTGCATACAATTGAGTTCAACGAGTATTCGGCCCAAAATAACCGACTGTTGGCCGCATTCGCCGCACAGAATCAGTGCCTCAGATGTGTTGTCATCCACTCATTTGAACGTCCATTTAATGATACAGTCGTTGAATTTGGTCGACAATTGTCACGATTAACTCAATTACGGGAATTGAGACTCAGTTTAGTTCTAATGAAAGGTAAAAACTCATTAAATGACTTTTTGCTTACGATTGGCTTAAACTGCAAACAATTAAAAAGATTGTCACTTGAGTTGGAATCGTATAACAAATTGAGTGGCAATTTATTGGATTCATTGAGTAGTTATCACAGTTTAAAACGATTGCGTTTAACACTCTATGCGGCCATCAATCACGAAGTGTTGGAACCGTTGAAACTCTGCCACCGATTAACACATTTAACACTCAATGTAAGGGAAATGAGTGACCAATTACTGGATAATTGTGGCAAACATTGGCCACGACTTCAATATCTATCCATCAGAGCTAATGCAATGAAAGGCAAATGTTTGAACAATATCTCAAGACTACCGGCGCTGCAAACACTCAAAATCTACACTTGTTTTCTATGTTATGATTCTTTGAATTACAATTTAATAGATCTGTTGTCGAGAAGTCCTAAATTAAACTACACTGAAATCCATGCGAAAAATACTTTTCAATACTTTTACCGTTAATTTGTTTAAATCAAGAAATATAACGTGTGTCAAATTTGATGCATTCATTGACATAAAATGTCATTAATTATATTATAATTAATTTTAACTATTACAGTATATTAAATACATAATTATCTATAACATATTATACATGAAACATCATGTACAATTTATAAGTTTATTTTGTTAAATGATTTTAAATGTTAATATTTAAAAAAAATACAATCTTTTAGTTTTGTACTTTTATTTAATGGGAATACTATTAATTTCTAAAATGTAAACTAAAATTAAAACAAATCTTTATTTATAATGAGTAAAAATTAATAATGATTTATGCAATCGAATAAATTTACATTTATGTTATCATAAAATTTTCCATAATAAAAATATTTGTGCAAGAATACTTTATAATGTTTAACTCTATTGATGTTTACAATGATTTACCAAAAGCCACATCAAATTTAGTCATTATTGTTTTGAGATGTCAGCCATTCCCCGTCCAATTGAGGTAAAAATTATATCGTTACATAAAATTGAACTAGAATAAATATTTATTCATCACACAAAATCTTTACATAAAATAAATTGATTACTTTGTGGAAAAATTAGCAATAATTATTAGTAAATATTTTCATTACAAGACATGGATTTGAATAAATAATTGTAAGATTTATTGCAAAAATAATATAATTTATGAGATGAAGGGTGAAGTAATTTTGTGTGGTAATTTAATTATTATTATGTTCATTATTCTTTTCAAATAATTAATTAAATTAACATATAATTAAAATATTTTTCTTGAAAATTCACAATTAAAACATGATTGTATGAGAACTTTTAATTTATAAAGTTAAGTTATTTACTTTATAATAATAAAAAGGCATTCAAGGCATAGATTTGAAGACATAATTGTGAGATTTATTATAAAATTACACTGTACAAAAATATAATAATTTCAATAATATTTAATAATTTAATTTATGAGACGAAGTGTTGAGTGAAAGTCATTTGAAATAAGTTTTCATATATTATAGCGAATGGAAACACAAATCGAGGCATTGATCACAAGCTTTGAGACAAACAC